TATTATATTGATTTAATATTTTATTGACATGAATATAGCTTCAAACTAAACCCAACAAAATATATTAGTTTTATGCAAATTTCTTCATTAAATCAACCTACTCCCTAGCATAGTTGCTCCAACTTTTGCTACACAGCAACTGCTATCACATGACAGTAGCCATCAATCAAAGTACGTCTCTCCTTCCATCATTCAATTATGGCTCATCAAAAATGTAAACTAAACTCATTAATTACTGCAATTAGCTATAATACAAGTTGTTTTTCTCTGTACACTTAAATGGTCTTTATCTGAAAATCGTTTGCTGGTCTCGTATTGTATTGCTTAATGTTACGCACGCGACCAGTGTCAAATTATGAGAATCGCATAGAGAGGAATGAAATAAAAAATACATGTATATATACAGCTCAGCTCCGTAAAGCGGTAAATCGTGTTGAGGTAAAAGCAGCCCGGTCTAACCAAGGCGCTGATTAATGGTTTCTTTCACTTCGGGCACGTCATAAACGAACGGGCAGGTTCCTAGTGCCAGTTCCTCACTCAAAGCCCCCAGGGCCGCCCGGGCGCTTTATTATCAGCGCTTGACTGGGCAAAGCGCAGGGTTGGGCTGAGTTGGAGTTGTCGTCCAGTCAAGTATAATTAACAACTTTGTTGTGCAGGTTTTTCCAGCTCATACTCAGGACTCTACTGCGCTCGTTGCTGCTAAGAACTTGCAAAAAGGAAAACGAAAAAAAAAAAGAAATTGTTGCTCGTTTTATGTAAATGATGTGTAAACACCACGTGCAGTCCATAATCCGCGCCCGGAATGTGCAGCACTCCGGCAGCTGGGCCTGCGCTGGGCGATGTTGTAAAAAATATTCAATGCATATTTCGTGGCGCATGTCCATTAGGTTGAGAGTACGACGACACGTGTCGCTGCGATTTATTAGCATAATTTCTCTTCTTCAAGTTTTTTGTTTTACATTTTACGTTTTTATGCACGGGAAACATTAAAGTGAAATTGATGTTGATATGGGTCTCGGTTTTGTGGGGTCTTTGGGTTAGTTTCCAAGTAAAACTTGTGACATAAATCCGGCCAAAGTTTTTGGTGCGCTGCAGGTTTCACTTTTCAATTTCCTTGACAACCTCGAGGCAGCATCATCAGCATCAGTCGCATCCCCAAACTTCTCACTTAATTGTTGTACATTTGTCAATCTGAGATAAACACACACAGACACACATACACACACACAGATACACACTTGCACACATAGAGAGACGTTGTCAACACTCCAGCGACAGTCTCTCAAACCACAAGCACTTTAAATTCAGGAACACACGTAGTCACAACATCGGCTATAAAAGGCATTGGCGAGACAGAAAGACACCGAACAGCAGCGTGAGAGAGGGGCAGGGACAGGGGGACTGGCATTTGAGTATCTGTTGTAGCTAGTCGTGTCTCGTGTCTCGTGTCTAGTCTTGTGCTATTTATGTCTCAGTTAGTGGCACATTTGCTGCGACTAGTTCGTAAATTAATTGGATTTGCAATTACACAGAGAAAACAGACACAGCTGTGTATGTGAGAAGCGCATAGAGAGGTGCCACTAAGCCGTTGCAGTTAGAGTCCGAATGCCTACACTAATGAACAGTTAGAAAATCTTTAATGCGGCTAATCAATAGCTGAGGAATGTATTGCAATACAATTAGTAAACTGGCGATTATTTGTAAAAACTTATGTGGCTATAGGTGGAGTTTTTAGATAGGTAAATCGGAAAATTATTAAGTAAAATTAATAAAATTAAATACAAAATAATATTTTATCGAATTTTAATCAAGCAATATTAATTAATATTTTAATAATTGATATTTGCCTTTAACGAATTCTATTTTTCATATTTCAAAATTTTTAATTATTTTATACGCATGCTAAAAATATCGTTTATTTATTTTGGAGCGAATTTAACTAATTCTGGTTATAATTATTTATATGTTATTTATGTTTTATTTTATATATATATTTTTTTTTCAATCAAATTTTTTAATCTTTCACATAGTTAATAAGGATTTATGGCATCAACCATTAAAGCTCATATAAATGTATCAACATTAATCCATACTAATAATAATATTAAGCGAAAGCTCATTCGATCGTTTTGCTCTCCATGACCCACCTCAGGCAAAGTAAGCCCTAGCCCCACTTCTATGTATCTCCAGATTAACAAAGCTCTTGGCATGTGTGTTTAATGTGCGTTGATGTTGAAAAATGTGAATGTCTAAAAATTTAATTATATGGTCGAGCGAGTCGTAAACATCATTAGGCAAGACAATGCCAGCCGACAGATAGAAACGCAAACATAAACAAATATTTTTAATAAGCGGATAGATGCGACCGACCGACCCCCGCCGGCCGTGTTGCACGTGGGGCACGTGCGTTGTGGACATGTTAATAGACATATTTGGAATTGCAATAAAACGTCTGACTGAACATTGAGTAAACGATTAATGTATATATGTGCATACATATATAAATCTATATATATGTATGTRTGTGATCCACCTCTGTTAGTTTGTACTGCGAAATCCTTTTGCCCTTCCATTTCCATTATTCTGTATTGTGCAATCGTAATTTTCCGTACGTAGATGAAAGGCCGCATTGCTATGTGACCAAAGGCCGTAAAGCGCATTGCACCCCTTTTGCCTGTCACAGACGCAGCCCTCCTAGCCAAAGCCACCCCCCTGGCCCCCTTTAAAGTCCCCTTGCAGCAAGGTGTTCCCTGCGCGTTTTTAATTCCACTTCCGTTTCGCTACTTTTGCCAAGATTTTCGGTGGTTGTTGCCGCTGCTGCTGCTGCTTGTTGCCATGGTTTGTAGCGCTTGACGGGGAGTTGGGGGTGGGTTTTTCCATCTAACGGTAGCTAGTCGCAATTTTCCCCGCTACGTTTTGCGCACTCTTAGTTAATTTCCACTGCAATGCAAACGCGAAGCGCAACTGCATTCAAAATTAAATCCTCAGCGAGCTATTTGTCATTTTTGACAGTTAAACTGTTTTTCGGCGTCGCTGAAATTGTGGCTTATGGTCGCAGTATTACGTCCCCAGTTTATCCATTTCTCTCACTCTCCTATTCTTTTTTTTTCACTTCGCTTCGCAGTTGATATTGCGCTGTTTTGATACTCCCAGTGCGGCGCGACTCCTGTTCTATTTGTTGTTCT